GAACAAGCAAAAAGCAATTAGAAAGGCACTGTCATCAAGAGAAATTAAGAATGATTCTGGTATGTTCCCTGAGTCTCAAGCATTTAAGCATGGACTTTCTGATTTTTTAATCTTTTGTTAATTAGTACAATGAGCATAGTCCTATGGTAAAACTAATTAAGATTCTTCCTTTAAAAGTTATTGGACCATAAGGTTTTAATCTCTTGGAGGTGCTCAATTTCAGTCAGCTGGGAGAATGACAGGATGTTGATCAGTCTATTATACCTTGAGTACGTGAATCGCTTCTAAGTTCAATTTGTTTCAAAGAATGGCAGCTGATGCAAAGTTACTCATGGACTTCCAATTGGTAGGTCTCTTTCTGTTGAGTTGTCGTCGCTAAGCAGTACCTCAGACTCCAGGGACATCTCAACCCATAGTGACTCTAACTCCTTGAAGGTATGTCTTGAGTAGAATTATGATTAAGCTTGAAATTCATTTAAAATAGATATGCGTTTCTTTTATTCTTCTTGTTTCTCATTTCCACGATGAATGCTACTTTGTGATGCTCTTGTAATTGACATCAAAGTTCTCATGTTTTAACAAATGAACAGCAGGGAATTCAAGATGAAAACCAGAAGAGTCAAACATGACAACCGGTAGCTAACCATGGAGATCAACGGTATAGTATTGTAGACCCAGTTGTGGCGAACGTGATTTGTTCAATATGGTTTTTTTGTCTTGAAATGGTGATGAAGAGATTTGAACCCACTTTCCAACATAGGTCGCATCTCTTCTGGCAACTCAGCCAACACCAGCAGTGTCATTTGTGCTAGCAACCCAGTGATGATAGGCAAGTCTCCAAAGTGAAGAAGTCATCCAGACCAATCAATGCAAAGTGGAAGATGCATAAATATTTAAGGCGATCAAGTGCCATGCTCTGTCAAATTAGTTTGCTTAACTAACAGACATGAAATATGGAAGGCCGAGTTAAACTTGCTAATGCTGTCTTGAATTTTGCTTGCAATAATGGATGTATTTGCTATTGAGTCCAAAAGAGCGTTGTGAGATTGGGTGTATTGGGAAGCTTCTATCGAAGCTAGGATAGAGATTCTAGCAATTGTATCCATTTCTTTACATGGTAAATTTCTACTCGGCTCTTCCAGTGAAATTTTGTAGTTGTTCTTTTACTGTTCTTCACCAGAAAAATTTATCTTCAATGGATAAAGATTGTGATGTTCCACGAGCAAGTACAAAAATACCTGGTTATTTTTCACAAGTGAATGTAGGAGCTGAAAAAACCAAGTGCAAGTTCAGTACTTTGGTTGCAGGGGCAATAATCACAAGAATTGGAATTACTCATAATCTCGGTAAATTCAGGCAGGCACCAGCTTAATGCATGTCAAAAATGCTTAAAGAGTACAAGTGTTGTAAATGAACAAAGATACCAGCAATCAAAATTAGACATGGTTAGTAACTAAAATCAAGTTTTTTTCTGCCTCTTTATTCTCTCAAGGGCTCCTAGACGGTTCTCACTTTCCCTATCTTTGGCTGGTACAATATCATCATCCCCATCTCTGTCACCATCGTCTCTCTTCCTGACAAGACCTCCAAATACAGCAGATGGAACATCTTTCTGTGCAATTTCAACTTTTTCATCTTCAGAAGAATCACTTTCTTCTGGCAGATCAATGTCTTCAGTGGCAACTGGTTTCATCCCCCCATCAGTCTGGGACTCCACCCCAGCACTAACAAACCCCACCTTTCTGCTGCTGTCTTTAGAATTGACATTTTTGGATGCAGGGGCCAATTGCCTCTCAAGAGCAGCCATCTCATCTTCAGGGACACCAGCTTGTTTCAATTTGTCCTTTGCATCATCAAGGGTCAATGACTGATCCTTCTGCATCATGTACTCTGGCAGAATGAAGTGTGTCTGAAAAATCAATAAAAATGAGAGTTAGAATAAAAAGCAAATCTCAACTAGAATTCTCAAGATTAGGCAAGAATAAAAAGATAAACCCAGATAATTTATCTAAAAACTAAATGGGAATTCCAAAGATTCTACATGAATAAATATAATGTATCAAAAAACTAAATGGAATGTTTTTCTTATAAAGGCTTACCTGGCTATAACTTGCAGAAACACTTCTTTTGATTCGCAGCATTTCCCTGAAGGTATCTTCATTTCCATGCTGAACCTCAAACTCATGCCACTTATTCCAAAAATCACCATCAGTGCGTGGATCTGCAAATTGAGATGCAAACACATATATTCCCCTAGCTCGGTCAATTTCTCCCAAGCTCTTTTCTAGCTCTGCATATTTCAAACACATTGTCTTCACATCTTTATCAGGAAGACCAGACTCTATGGCCTGCTCATAGATTTCTCTTGTTTTAGGGACACCAAATATCTCAGCAGCACGAGCAATGTATATCTCATACATGCTTAGTTTTTCTTCATTTGGTACTGCCTTGGTTGCCTCATCATAGACCTTCATAGCTCGCTTTGCTAGACCATAATCCTCCTCCAATTTTGCATATTGAAGATACAGCTGCTTAACTGCATCAGCAGGAGCCTGATAAACACAAAATAAAATAAAATAAAATAAAAGCAGTATCAGCATCACAACACAATGATAATGCACACAATGTAAAATTTAGAATCAGCTTCGATAGAAGCTCTTAAAAGTGCAGACTGCAGAAGGATGGCATCTAATAAGTCAAAAAGCCATTCAACTACTAATGAAATTATGCTCTTCTATACCCTAATTCTTGTGGTTAAGATTACTCCCATTGCTTCTTAAAGGAACCAATGATCTGAGGGAATCTCTCACAATTTCAATAGAAAACTATTACAGGTCAGGGCCATGATCAACTAGATGGTTAGTGTGGAATAGATTAGCACATAAGTTTTGGATAAAGCTTTTACATACATGCAAAACTTAAATCCCATTAATTTTCAAAAGAAAAACTAAGTAACATGTCATGAACAATTATGACCAGACACAGTTAAAAGGATGATAATTGGCATACCGTATCAACAGCATGCTCAAACAGTTCTCTAGCCCTTTCAAGCTTCGACTTTCCATATCTTTTCACGAACTTGGACAAATAGGTTACCCAAATGTCCTTGACATGTGGGTATTTAAATATCTTGACACCTCTTTCATAGACCTTAAAAGCATCTTCAAAGTACTTGTTTTCCTGAATAAGTTTAAAGATCAGAATCTCAGTCAGTCCTCAAAACTATCAAATGTAAGAATGTGTGGAACATGGTGATAAAACCATAAGAAAAATGTCTACCTCCAAAAGGAAGGCATAGTTTATGATGATTTGTGGTGTGGCAATTCTTAAGTCCAGTATTCTCTCATAGACTGCTCTCGTTGACTCCAAGGTACCCAGGCTTTCCTCCAAGTCTACATAGAAAGTCCACAATCTAAGTGATTTGTGTACTTTCATCTGAACAGGTTCATTCCCATCAGCAGCTACTGCAGGCAAAATAATATAGCATTAGAAAATCAAGAGTTTTTTTGTGATTCCACAAATACTGGTAATGAAAATTCAACTTCTTTTCTCCTACACTTAGTGCAAACCGAATTCTCTTAGTGAAAAACTGGACCAAGCAACAAATAAGCAATGGTCCTTTTAACCGTTTGCTTGGTTTTTTCCCACCCTTAAAATTTTCTTGTTACTTTTGGCTTACCAAGGGGGGATTTTTTATTTAGGGGCCTTATTTTCCTTGCAAAGGCGGGGAAAACTTTACCAGGCTTTATTTTTGAGGTTCAACCAATTGAGGGCTTGTTTGTTTTTTGTTTTCGGTTTCAAAAAAACAAAATAAAAAAATGAAGATAACATGCACCACAACTCATAGATCCTTGACATGGTATCTTTACATTTTTCCATTTTAACATATACCAGAGACTAGAGATGAATAAAGCCTGCCTGATAATGCCAACCCAGTGTTGTTAGCAAGTAATTTTAGAGGCTAATTGAGAAAAAAAACAGAATCTTTCTTTTTCCTAGGGATGTATGTTTCCATATTAAAAAGAGTACTGCAATCTAAATATCGTTGACATATGATTTAAACATAATGAGTGAGTATAATACCAATCAGTAAAACACCAGAAACATAAGTCCTAGTAAATAAGAAAGGATAAGGATTACCTCTTCGTTTCACCTCAACTGATGGTTCAGCTGTCGCCCGCCTCATCAACTCCAGTGCCCCTTTGAAATTCTTGTGCCTCAACTCCATTTCCGCCCACTCACACCAAACACTAGCCAGATGATCCACAGTCTTATAGTTTACTTGCACTGCCTTGTCAAAAATCACTCGAGCATTAGCTATATCTTTGTGGTTCTCATACAATTTAGCAAAAGCAACCCACAAGGTATGAGGCTTCCCAACTGCTTTCATGGGATCAACCGTCCTCACTGCTTCTGTATACGTTAAAATCTGTTTGGTTGGGCTACCCTCAAAAATCTTTATCCTTCTGTGCCATTGCTCCACATTATGCGGATTTTGACGTAAGAGAACACTATTGGCAAGTTCTGGCCTTCTGTTCATTAAATGCTCCAACCGTGCCAACCTCAGATCTATATCCTTGTCATCATGCCACCAACACCCCTTAAATATTTTCCTCTCAAACTTGTGTTTTGACTTGTACAGATCAACATCCAAACGAATATCTTCATCCTCCTCAATCACTTCTTCTTGTATGTCCTCTTCTTCCTCATCACTTAAATCCAAGCTCTCCATCTTGTGAGCAATCACACTCTCTTCAAACTGTGAATAAGCATCCAATATTACACTAAAGTCCCTCACAGTTACTACTGTTGTCATACCCTCCTCAAAAATATCTCTAGCCTTCCCAAACAAACTTCTCCTAATGTAATAATCAGCAAGTGAAGTCCATAGCCTTCCTACCTCACCTGTAAACCTCCGTATCCCACCTCTAATTATTGCATCCACATTGAGGCCCGAAACCTCCGTAGCATGCGTTGTAAGCAGGTCACACAACTCCAACCACAGTCTGTGTTTTGTCTTCCCTTTTATTGAATAAAAGGTATCATCATTCAAAACAGAAGCTAACCTCTCCGCGGCCTCTTGCCAGAGACTTGAATTCAGCAAAAACTCAATGAAATCTTCACTGTGAGAAGGATCATACTTCAAGTACCTCCTATAAACCCTCAGTGAGGTCTCAATAGGGCTACCTTTTTGGCTCACAAATACCAAATAAGGCTCCCAAATCCTGT